AGTTGAGCTGTAATTTTGATGTGGTTGTGACCGAGGTAAGCACAGCATTCACCTACTTTGCCATCTTTACAGGATCTTCGTCATTATTTGGCCTTAGGCGCCCAATCTGTACAAAGGAGGTTGGGCTGGGTTGTTTACAGGTCCTCTTGTGCCAACATTCATTCCAGAACCTGGGCTTCTGGCAGAAAACCCTACATAAGCATCTTACTCCTTCAGTGGCGTGATCCCTAAGTCACTCACATGGGGATTCTCTTCCCTCGGTGAGAGATACTGTCAGATGACCCGGCTCTGGTCAGAGGCTTCAGTGACTGTGACTCAGGCCCTAAATTACAAGGGTTCTTTTGGAAGACGGCCACGGTAACTGCCCAACCTCTGGGCACCTTCTCCAACCTGGGTTGTCAGAGTAAATACTGAGGCTGTGCCTCTTAGGTATTTCTTCTCAGTGTGGAAGTTCTGAGGACAAACTGAAGAGTCACATTCTCCCCCTCCCTGCTCCGGATGGATTTCTCCTCCCTGGAGGGAAGAAAGAGAACGAAGCTCATGGAAGAGGAGCCTTTGCCTGCTCTGTTCACTGCAGCTGTCACAGCACTCAGAGCAGAGCCGGGTCCACAGCGGGTGCTCAGTGAGTGTCAGTAAGGAGAAGCCCGGCCACACTGAGGGGAGCTCTCTCTGGAGGCAGCGGTGAGGTCTGCCCTGTGACGGGCAAGTCACTCAGACTCTCAGCTCCCTCATCCCTGGAACCAAGGGGCTGGATGGGATTGGAAAATCACAGACTGTGGAGCCAGGCAGTTGGGGGTTCCAGACTTTCCCACCATTTACCAGCCGTGGGGCCTGAGCAAATAGCACAACCTCGCCAGGCCTCAGTGTCCCTGATCTGTAGATGGGGCAAAATCAGACCATGAACCAGACATGGCAATTAGCACCCATTTCAGCACCTGAATCTGAGTTGTTCATAGAATGGAGGTCATTCTCGGGCATCCCAGTTGGGACCTCCTCTCGTTTCGAGAGCTGTAACTTTCTGCTCTAATAAAACTACCCTCTGCTATAAAAAAAAAAGAAAAAAGAAAAGAAAGAAAGAAATAGAATAAAAAAAGAGAAAAAAAAGAATGGATGTTATTCTTATTGTTGTCACACATCAGGGATGAGAATCCCACACCATACTCACCACTCACAGTGAGCCGAGTGCCTGCTCCAGACTTAAGCTCCACGTCTTCGCCAGTGCTTCCTCTCTGGAACTTCACACAGTAGTAGGTACCGGCGTTTGCGGGGGTGATGTTACTGATGCGGATGGAATAGTCCATTTTGTTTCTCCTTGTGGTGTCTGCAACATCTGTTACTTGAGGGAAGCGGGTTGCCTCCTTTTGTGTGAAACTATAGATTAACTCCCGGCCTGGCCCTGTCCCCCTGAACCACCGGGTGGGCCCCAGGGGGTACAGGGAGGTCACGGTGCAGTTCAGAGTGGCCGTCTCTCCGGCTGCGACGGACACCGACCTCTCAGGCTGAATCACCTGCAGCTCCTTCTCACCTGCCATGCCTGGAGGGAAACAAAGCAGGTATTTATTCATCCTTATGTGACCCTGTAGGTTTTGTCACGTGTTTATCAACAACAGCTTACACTGACTGAGCCCACTCTGTGTGTGGGCCTTGAGCTCAGTACATTGCATGTGTCATTGTGTGCAACCCTCACAATGAGCTTGTAAGTGAGACCCTGTTACAAATGAGGAAATTAATGCACAGAGAGGAAACTGATGTGGCAGAGAGTGGGTGTGAGTGCTGAGCCCTCTCTGGAGGTGTCATGCTTCCCCAAATATTTCTGGCTGTCTACTTTCTGGCGTCATGGAGAGTTGTACTTTTGGACATTTGTATTGGGTGGCATGAGGAGACTTCTTTAGATCACTTAGTTGTGAGCAGAGGCGATGAATGTATTTTGTGGGATATGTGTTTAACTGCAAGAACACCTATGCACCAACTTTCCTCTTCCACAAAGTTCCACATGTTATGAATGTGTCTGCTCCATCAGCCTGGAAACCTGAGTGACCGTGATGTGCGGAGCTCCCAACACACAATGTACTTGTGTAAATAAGAAGTGAAACATTATGTCAAGTTTTAAAAAATTTTAACTTGTAGCATAATCATATTAGTTTCCAGGCTGCTTTACAGAAACACCAAAATCCTAATGGTTTTAAAAAACAGAAATTTAATATCTCATAGTTCCTGAGATCAGAATGCAAAATTGGTGTTCCTGGGCTGAATTTGTTGTCAGTCAAGCTGCATCCCTTTTGCAGTCTGGTCCTTGCCTTTCCAAATTCTCGAGGCTGCCCACATGCCTTTTCTTATGGTTCCCATCTTCTTATCACTCCAACCTTTTGTTTCCATTGTCACTTTTCCTTCTCTAAATTTGAGTTTTCTACCTCCTTTTTATAGGGACCCATGTGATTATATTGTGTCAACCTGATAATCTAGGATAATCTCTCCATATCAAGAATGATAACTTAAAAATCCTCCAAAATCTGTTTTGCCATATATAAAGTAAAATCTTCAGTTTCTGGGTGGTAGGACATGGCCCTCTTTGTGGGGGGACTATTGTTCTGTTACCACACACAGCTCTCTTGACTGTTACAGAAAGCTGTTGCTATAACAAAAAACTGCATTTGTGGCAATGTCACACAGTATGAATGACAAGACAACTTATTTGAATTACAAGAAGAACCATTCTAGCAGTGGACTGGTGAAACAGTTTGCAAAATAAAAGTGGAAATCAATTAAGGAGTTTCTTGAAATATTCACAAATACAAAGAGATCAAACAACATACTCAACAAATTCAATAGTCATAAAGAAATCACAAAAGGATTTAGGGAATACCTTGAAGCTACTGAGAATGAAAATGCAACATACAGAAACCTATGATGCAGCAAAAGCGGTAGTAGAGGTAACTTTATAGCTGTAAATGCAGACATTTAAAAAGGGAAAAGATCATAAATCAGTAACTTCAATATATACCTTCAGAAATTAGAAAAAGAAGAGCAAAAATAAATTGAGAACTTAAGGTACGAGAAGGAAGAAAGTCATAAAAATTAATGCAGAGATAAATAAAATATGAATAGAGAAACAACAAAGAAACTCAACAAAACTCTGAGAGGTTCTTCAAAAACATAAACACAATTCAGAAAATTTCAGTTAGATTGACTAAGATAAAACAGAGAAGACACAAGTAACTAAAATAAGAAAGAAACAAAGTACATTCCTAACAATTTAACAGACATTAAAAGGATTATAATAGAGTACTATGATAATTATACACCAATAAATTGGGTAACCCAAATAAAATAGACAAATTCCTAGACACACGTAACTTACCAAGACTGAATGAAATAGGAAATCTGAATAAGTTAGCAACGACAGTGAATCAATAATAAAAAAATCTCCCCCGCAAAAAAAAATCTCCGAACAGTGACGGCCAGTTGGCTCAGGTATTTGGGGCGCTGGGTGTAGTGCTCATAACACCAAGGTTGCCAGTTTGATTCCGACATGGGCCACTGAGATGCATCCTCCACAACTAGATTTTTTTAAAAAGATTTTTATTGGGGAATTGGGAGAAAGGGAACAGACAAGTTGCTGTCGTTTTGTTCTTCAGTCTAGTTGTGGAGGACGTTGCTTCACTGGCCCAAGTTGGCACCATCATTNGGACTCTCTGCACTTCCTGGGCTTGTGTATTTATTCCCTTTTCCTGGTTAGGAACATGTTCCTTCATTATTTCTTCAAATAGGTTTTCAGTTCCTGGCTCTCTCTCTTCTCTGGTACACCTGTAATGCAAATGTTGGTATGCTTGATGTTGTCCCAAAGGCCCCTTAAACTGTCCTCATTTTTTTGGATTCTTTTTGCTGTTCTGTTTGGGTAGATTCTGCTACCTTGTCTTTTTTTTTTTTCAGGTAAAAACCATGTTTTCCATTTAATTGACCCCTTAATTCACAATGTTTCCTCCCTTGGCTGCTACTTTGGTAACAATTCGGTCCCCACCTCTCAAGAACGTTGCATCTGAACAGGCTGAGACAGAGCCAGTGTAAATACAGGCCCCAAACTAGGGCTTTCGGAATAATAGGAACAGCAAAACCCAGCCTTTCTCTTCACTTAGAAAGGGATTGTGAGTCAGAGTGTCCAAAGCTCCACTTCCCCAAAAGAAAACCTGAAGCTCAATATAAAAATAGAAACCAAAATGTATCAGAAATGAAGTATAGTGTCTCCTCTTTTACTCAAGGTCAAGATGGTTTTTGAGAAACAGGTATCTGATCATCTGGCCTCTTGTATTAGGAATGGACCCCCTCCAGCATTTTCAAAGGAAGAGGTTTTTGTTTCTATTTCACTTTCCAACATGGATATAAAATCTACCAAAACGAATTGGGATAAATCAGCTCACTCACTCCTAGATACTGATTTTTGGTTGCTGAGAATATTTAGCACAGTATTTCAAGGTAGCAAAATTCAGGGTGATCTGAGAAGAGAATTCAAAAGAGGCAGCTACATTCACTGATAGATTCATGTTGAGACACACACACATACAACCTCATTTTTTTCAGTGTATATGTCAAGGGGCCGGCCAAGACCCCAGATCATCAAAATAAGTTATTTTGTACATTACAGTGCACAGAACAAGAGGGAAAGACACTTTTTTAGAGTGACGGAAAGGCATTTTGCAAAAGGTTCATATCACTCTGAAGCGGAAGGCCTGGAGCCCAGTGCCATGAGGCCTTCCTTAGCTGGACCCCTCCTCTTCTTTGGTTGTGGTGGCCTCAGTGGGAGCTGTCTCCTCTGCGCGTTCTGCAGGCTTCTTCTCCTCCTACTCCTCTTCCTCCTCCTCCTCATCCTGAGGATAGAGATCCGGGTACTTCTACATGCATTCCTGCATGGCCCGAAACTGGTCTACACAGTCTGACCCCTTGACATCCTCTGTGCTATAGTGAAAGCAGGAAAAGGCTGACTTGAACTGTTCCCCACAGGGGCCACTGGCCATTCCCCCAAGGCACGGGCAGTTCCAGTTCATGTCTCCATTTGGCAAGATCAGGCCATGCTCTTCATGTGGATCATTGGGGTCATCAGCCACCAGCTCTGCATTGCTGGAGTTTCATGGTCTTCTTTGGTCACAAATATGATTCGATCCTTCCCTTCCTGCCTGCAGTCCAGCGCTCAGACTCTGCACGCCAGCGGCGGCGGCAGCAGCGGCGGCAGCTTACCTTGTCTTTTAAATCACCGATTTGATCCTTTGCTTCATCTAATCTTCTCTTGATTCCTTCTAATGTATTCTTCATTTCAGTTATTCTATTCCTCATTTATGACTTGTTCTTTT